CCCAACCAATAAGACCCCAAAATCAATCCTAAAGGACCCCAAAATTAACCTAGGAATCCCCAAATCGACCTTGGTCCCCCCCCAAATCAACCCTAAAGACCTCAAATTGATCCTAAAGACTCCGAAATCGATCCTCAAAGCCCCAAAATCGATCCTGAAGACCCCAAATCAATGTTGACCACTCCAAAAACAATCCTAAAGACCCTCAGATTGATCCTAAAGGCCCCAAATTGACCCTAAGTCCCCTCCAAATCGATCCTAATGACCCCAAATTGATCCTAATCCCGTCCAAAATGGATCCTAAATCCCCCATAATCAATCCTGAAGACTTCAAATCGATCCTAACAGCCCCAAATCGATTCTAAAAACCCCCAAATTGATCCTAAATCACCCCAAAACCAATCCTAACCTCCCCCAAATTGGCACTAATGACCCAAAACTGACCCTAACCCTCCCCAGATCAACCCAAACACCCCCCAAATTGACCCTGAAGACCCAAACTGATCCCAACCCCCTCAAAATCCATCCTAAAGACCCCAAAAAGGACCCAGAAGACCCCGGAATTGATCCTAACCCCCTCCCCAAATCAATCTGACCCCCTCCAAAATCGATCAAGAACCCCAAAAAGACCCTAAAGACCCCAAAATCGACCCGACTCCCCCCCTCAAATTGATCCTAATGACCCCAAATTGATCCTAATCCCATCCAAAACGGATCCTAAACCCCCCATAATCAATCCTGAAGACTTCAAATCGATCCTAACAGCCCCAAATCGATCCTAAAAAACCCCAAATTGATCCTAAACCACCCCTAAATCAATCCTAACCTCCCCCAAATCGACACTAAAGACCCCAAACTGATCCTAACTCCTTCAAAATCCCTCCTAAAGACCCCAAAAAGGACCCAGAAGCCCGGAATTGATCCTAACCCCCTCCCCAAATCAATCTGACCCCCTCCAAAATCGATCAAGAACCCCAAAAAGACCCTAAAGACCCCAAAATCGACCCGACTCCCCCCCTCAAATCGATCCTAATGACCCCAAATTGATCCTAATCCCATCCAAAACGGATCCTAAACCCCACATAATCAATCCTAAAGACCTCAAACCAATCCTAACCTCCCCCAAATCGATCCTTAAGACTCCAAATTGATCC